GGGAGTACCCTCCCCCAGGTACCATAATTAACTGCTTCTTTATTTATCTATATATTTATTTTTTGCAGGGGTGGTGTGGCTGGAAAGGGCCAGACTTCTGGAATCAGCAAGTTCATTACAACATGTGTATGCCTCAGAGACCAGATATGATTTGATGATGAAAAATATTTATATTTCATTTTATGGCAATTATGCTATTAATTTGCCCTTCAATAACATTTTAAAATGTGAAGGAAGAAAAGACAACAACAAAATAATTTTTAACACTATGAAAATTTAGTAAACTAGAAAAGCCATCTCTAAATAAAAGGATCTTGAAGTAAAATTTTTTCCCTTACTTTTTAGAACACTTTTTCTATCCGGCAAATTGTGGGATTTTCAGCTACAGACTGCCGAAGCAACATTTCTGAATCACGGCTCTGCTTCAGTCTTCCTCGTACGTCGGGTCCGTTGCAAAGAAGTGAGGCCTGGGGACGAGGAGGACTCTGTCTCTAAACAGTTTTCTTTCTCTTGTGCAAATTCTTATGCAAATCTAAGTCCTGCTGTAAAGTTAATTAACTCTGTTTTCAGAACGCTAAATTATCAAAGAATGTGGCTGTGTAAGTCTTTATTCACTGTCATTCCATCTGCGGGCTCAAGAAAGTATCATTACAGTTCAAGAGGTTTCTGAAAAACAAAATAAAAACCAAAAGTTAAATTCGTGTGGCATACCTGCGAGCGTGAAACGCGAAACACCAGTTAGCTTAAATGTTAATCGGGAATGGTTCGTTCGTTCGTTCGCTGGCTCTTTCGCTCGCTCGCTCGTTCGTTCGTTTGTTCATTCAACACTCGTGCCGAAGCACTCACAATTTGAGAGGCATGATCTTTTTAGAAATTCCATTCAGGCATTGATTGTCGATCGCACGCATTTGCATTCCTTGCATTCCAAATCAGACAACGATGTCAAAACGTTAATTTAATTAATTTCTTTTTTAGGTTTGTTTTCTTAGCAAGCTTCAAGTATTGGACAAATATTTGGACACATTGTGACATGTCATATGCGCTTCGATATAACGCAATTTTACAGGCATTTTAGACTACTTATTAAACGAACTAGTCACAACATTTTCCGTACTCAAATTTGCGCCTCTCTTTACAAGAACGTTTCAAAATATGAAACAAAAAAATGGAAAATAGCAGACTAAATGAACAAGAAACAAACGGCGTGGATAAAATATGGTACGTGTTCTTCGATTTGCCTCGTGAGCACGGAATTGTTCTGACCTTCAACGACTATCTTAATAGTTTTTCTAATTGCTCAATTTAAAGCTTAAACCGTTCATAGCAAAACGAGGTAATTACCCATAAAACTCGTAGTTTTAGAGGCATCACTGACAGAAACTGTGCTATTTATTACCTACAAAGCAAAACTCTAATTGCCGGGGCGGCCGACGGCTAATATGGAATTAAAACAATAAAGCTGCTAAATGAATTATTTTCCTTTACGGCTTTGTATTATTTTAGGTGATAACAAGGTCAACCACAAGTATTATACAAGCGACATTCTTATCAGCGAGTCTTTAGATTTCATTCCCAGGCGTGTTAAGAAATACAGTGAATTCACTTCCTTTTATGACATGAAATTCCGTTATCAACTCAACCATCTGTTTTTAATTCTTTATTGAAATAGAGTGCTAATGTTTTCAGACTATCAAATCTCCATCAGGATTTGAAATCAATATTCGTGCTTTTGCTGCGAGCAAGAATTTTTTTCAAAAAAAAAATAATAAAGCGAAACTTAAACGAAGGTGCTTCATGTAAATTAACAAAAAAATCTCATTTACTCTTTCTAAATCATTGTCAAGTACTCCAGTTTTTAAAATAGCTTAATTTTAGGAGCACCTTTTCATGCAAGAATTTCACACACATTTGTCAATGATAACAAGTGAATAGTACATTGAAATAAGCAAATACACTGAGCGAACTCAATATCAAATGAAGCCATAAATATGCAAAAAGCTTTTGTCACTTCATTGCTATAAGCCGTAAAACGATTTTTGACGAAATAATCAGCTCGATTGCTGCAAGGACACAAAAGATTTTAATAGCTCGATCAGAATCTTATGTTGATCCTACGCAAGGACACTATTTTTCTCTAATAGCCCTCTTAAGGAGATTCTACCACCAAAATAAAAGCAGTACTCGCAAGATAAATAGAAGCATATTTGAATAAAGTACAGACGGCAGTGTGATAAAATGTCATTTCGCTCCTACGCGACAACTTACCCGCGTTACGAGGTTAATCCCGCTGGCAAAAACAAACCCATTTCCCAAGGCCACATCGTCTGTCTTCTCTCTCGTCCCACGGTACTCAGGACGCCCATTGGATTCTCCATAATATCTTCAATCACATCTAACATGTCTGACAAAGTTTTCCCGTCCAGATCGGCGAATAGATTCACCGGTTTGAAGTCTGGCGGCTGCATGAAGTAGTGCGGTAGGTTTCCCTCTTTCAACGCCTTTTTGAGCCGTTCTAACAGTCCGAAGAATCGCCGCGTGATTTTATCCGCACTCCACTCGTGAAAGTCCGGGTATTTGTCGGATTCGTGGAAGAGTAAGGTCTTGACATGATAAGATGAAAGCTTCTTAAGTTGATCTTCATTGTCGCGGATTTCCGTTAAAATGCGCAATAGCTGCACTCGACAGCCTTCGCTAAGAGCTCGAATGCGATTTTTCTCCGCCACATAAAACGACAAACGCCATATCATTTCGTTTTGAACGTGGGGTTTGCAAACCACGTGCGAAGATGATGGGCAGTCCCTCCGAGACGGGTCTGAACGAGAATCGGGGATCACAAATGCGGGAAGGATATCGACAGCTATGTCCTTATTGATGGTTAATCGAATTACGGGCCCTTTCTCCACCGAAATGCTACTTAAATTTTTGGGTAGTTTCTCCGCGCGACCATCTTTGATGTGAAAGTTCAAAATCTTTACAGCTTTCTTGACGTACTTTCGCAGCAGTGAGTTTATCTTGCCGGCAGACAAGAAGCCGTTGGTTGTTATGCAGTCTTCCCAGACGCTGTAATCCTCCGAGCTGGGCTGTACCCGCATGCCGCCCGTGCGCTCGTCGTAAGCTGTGTACATTGCAGAGCTCGTGCCCGGGGAAAGTTGCACCAGCATGTCCATTTGAATGGCTTCCTCAGCTTGTAAGCCATCGTACGGTATGCCTTGCGACACCAAGCTGTTAGCACGAAATCGACTGTCCACCATCTGGATTTTACGGAAGCATTTATGCACGGCGTTGTAGGCGATTTCTTCGCAGATTTCTTTGCGTTCCAAGCTAATTCTCACGCGATTCTCGTAGAATTCGTTCAGCTGAACAGCAACCGGATCGAGCTGAAATTGAGGCTTCTTGATGGAACTTCTGCGGCGATCAGGAGTCCAGGGAATTTCTGATTTCCACTGGACTGGCGGCGACGGCAGCTCGTCGGGATACGAATCCTCCGAGGCCCAGGAGTCGTTGTCTGAAGCAGAAGACACATCGAAGCTCCTCATCGAAGAATTCGGACTCAGAAGGTTTGGATCTGGCATTTCGTTACTGTTGTCGTCGAAAACTTGTCCACCTCTGTTTTTCTTTCCACGCGCGTTCGACATTTGATCGTCGGCAATTCAGACGCACAAAAGTACAATTCTGTTTGTTTTCCAGCGCGTTCGCTCCGTCGAGCAAACGTAGCGGTTGCTCGTGAAACTCTAGCGTGAGTGAATTTCGTCCCGTCCTGTGCGTGCTCCTTTGCACTGACAAACACGGCAAGAGCCGGGAGCGCTGACGCCAGACCCACAAATTTCAGATATTTCCGGAATGGGTGCAGTTTGACTGATCACCTCAAGTAATCGCAATCGAAGTAAACGACAGAATTATTACCAGCAGCTCTTTATAAGGGCCCTTATGCATGCAAACCGCATTCCTTCACCCGGCCATCCGGAAAATCTAGGCAAATATAAGCTGGCAGTTAACGCTCTTTTGATTATTAGGCTTTTCACTGTCGAAAAGCTTTTGGCCAATGGACTGAGCGGCTTTGTCACGTCTCGTCGCCTCTGCACAAAAGTTTCTATAGTAACAAAGCAGTTATTCGAGAATTTTTTTCCGGTGGTCTCTGTACATATGCTGGCACTGTCAACAGTTTCTGAAACTGTCTGCCACAAGCAAGGCCGCAAGTAATTAGCATGAATTAGTTTGTACCCCAGGGATGAACTTTTCAAACCTTGGTTGTCATATTTTACCGGGGCGTCCATTTGAATGATGACATCAGTGATAAACCCCTTAAATGAATGTACATATTTTCGTAAGTTATTTTTACCATGAATTTTAAGTATTCTATACTTCATCGAAAGAATTCTACACTCCTAACGCATTTAATTGTCGAGTTTGATGCGAAATAGCTTGCGAAGGCTGACGAATTCGACTTTTATTTTCAAGTTCATCTGATTTAACCGTGGTGAACAAGCGATTGAGTGGTCAACCTCGGTCACCGCTAACCACTTTTCTCACGGGAAATGGTAATTATTTAAACAATTTATAAAACGAAAATAAACAAGATAATAATCAGTTTGTGAATGGAGTTATGTGTCGATATTCTCCAGCTGCTCGACTAAACGGCTGTTTATAGCCTCACGATTTTCCCAACAGTGAAAGAGTTTGCCTCGTCCAACAGCGAGACGGATGGTTTTTAAATCAGAAGGACTAAAAATAACATCATTCCGTCAAGTGCACAAAACACTGCAAGTTTTAACATTTGATATTTTCGAGTGGGTGAACGTGACCATAATTAGGTAGGTTTAATTTTGGTCCTTGAAATACAGGCGGGAAGGTCACGCCCACAAATCACGCGCCTCGCGCGAGTGATAATGAAACTCGACTCCTGGCCTCTTCCAGGCGTTCATTTAGTTGGGGTGCACCGCGAAAAAATGGCGAAGCAAAAAAGGAGAGAGACTTCTCCCCTATATTTTCGTGCGCCATTTTTCGCGCTGCGCCTCAACCAACTGAGCCCTGGAAGAGGCTAGAGAAGGGGAGGGGGTGGGTGTCGATCTTACGGTTTTTACACAAATGTCCGGTATTTCGTTTCATTCCCTTTTCAGCATTCGGTTTTCGGGTTTTCGTGGTAAGTAAATCGGGTTTTCGGTTTTTGTTATTTGCTTGGCTAGTTCCTAGACCACTTTATTTCACACTTTGACGTCATCTGTGATCAACTACTAAACAGACGCGACGCGCAGCATCTTGGAACTCATTAGATTATGAGCTCGAGAATTCTATGAGGTGATAGTTGATGAGGCCGAAGGTTGCAGGTCTGTTTTAGTACAATTCTCATTGAAATTTCCTTCAAATTACGATTCCAATTATTTCTGGTCTTAGTAAGAGAAACTTCTCGCTTTAGGGGATTCTCGCAGACTGAATTAACTGAATGTAAATTTGACATTTGCTGTTGTGTACGCGCGTTTATCAGTTTCTTTCAAGAATTTCGAGCTTTTTATTTCAAGAAACCGTAAATACCCTCCTTTTCGTCTTCCCAGGAATTTTGTTTATTCATTTGTTTCTAAATGCATGTTCTTTCAAAACTTCGGAGAAACGAGGAAACGTTGCAATTTTGTCGACCACACCAAGTTGAAGCC